CCTCTAGGCCATGTCCGGTGGGGTGAAAGGACACTTAAAAATCACCCCGTTATTTCTTGAGGGGCGGCTAGGACCCGACAAACGTCCTGTGCCGCCCCTTTTTTTTTTTCTTTTTTGCTCCAGGGGCCTCCATCCGGACATGGGGACCGGACACCGGACACCGGACTGTCTGGAACCCGGTCCGGACGTCCGGGCGGTTACCATGCTGCTATCTATACGTTTTTGTTTTGGATGGTGTGTTATGATTTGTGGAGGAAACGAGAGAGAGAATTTGGGGTGCTTTAACAGCACACACACACACACACAGACCACCTACCCTCCATCTGCAGCTCTGGAAACGACCTGGACCTCTGCGTTCAAATGAACTGTAGCATGCGATCGCTCTAGAAGCATCCTAGGGATTGCAGAGAATCCCTCTTTCACTGTCCAGCTTTCAAGGTCAAATGCAGGAGCTAGCACCAGGCCTCCCGCAACGCCATGCATCACACTGCACCCACACACATATGTTCTGTTAGCAACTTAGCAATACATGTCCTTTCTTTTCGTTTCTGTTCGTTTCTGTTCGTTTCTTTTCGTTTCTTTTCGTTTCTTTTCGTTTCTTTTCATTTCTTTTCGTTTCTTTTCGATTCTGTTCATGTCTTTTCGTTTCTTTTCGTTTCTTTTGGTTTGTTTTCTTTTGATTATTCTGCAAAAAGGAGGTTGTGGTTGATAAGCTGGAAAGCGGCTCCAGTATCCATTAGAACAAAGACACACGCTAGTTATTATTTACAAACAAGTTCATTCATGATAGAAAAAGAAAAAGGGAGTCAAAGGGAATCACAAGTCTCCAAATAAGTCGGGGCTTATCAATTAACCCGTATTTATAAAAAAAAAAGAGGGAAAAACCCATGGCTTGAAAAACCAGCATAGTTATGCCCGGCAGTCTGTACACGGAACCAATCATAACCAGCAGGCAGCTGCGCTCTGGAAAGATCCACTTTCCCCCCCCTGCCCCTTTCCCCCTTTCCCACCTTTCCCATCTTTCCCCCTTTCCCCCCATTCCCTTTCCCCCCATTCCCTTTCCCCTTCTCCCCTATCCCCTTTCCCCTTTCTCCTTTCCTCCATTTTTTGTCGTTCCCCTTTGCCCTTTCTCCTTTCCCCTCCACCTTTCCCCTTTACCCCCTTTCCCCTTTCCTCTTTCCCAGGTTTCCCCCTTTCCCCTTTCCCCACTTTCCCTTCTCCTTTCCCGTTCCCCTTCCCCCCTTTCCCCTTTGCCCCCTTTCCCCCCTTTCCTCCCATTCCCTTTCTCCTTCCCCCCTATCCCCTTTCCCCTTTCTCCTTTCCCCCATTTTTTGTCTTTCCCCTTTCCCCTTTCTCCTTTCCCCTTTACCCCCTCCCCCTTTCTCCTTACCCAGGTTTCCCTTTTTCCAACCTTCCCCCTTTCCCCTTTCCCCCCTCTCCCATTCTCCTGTCCCCTTCCCTTTCCCCACTTTCCCCTTTCCCCACTTCCCCTTTCCCCTTTCCCCTTCCCGTTTCCCCTTTCCCCTTTCCATTCACCCACCTCGGGCTCTGCCCAGATCGTGCACGCGTTGCTCCTGCTAAGATCTCATCGACCATGATGTTGTATATCCATCGATTGGTCTTAAGGAGCTCTCCAAACGGTTTCTGTTCCATCCAACCAGCATGCGGTCAACCAGCATGGTGTTATTCGAGTAAAGAGCACGCACCACCAACAATTGGTTAATGAACATGGCATTTACACGGTCGTTGGGGAAACCAAACCTACGAAACTGATGTCTACAACTGCTACGGGCATTTCCATACACCAAATACATGTTTTTTTCGACAGTCTGTAGATCTCAATTCAGGAGTCTAACAACAATGAAATTTCAATGAATACCACGTATATGAGAGCAGAAACCAGACTTCCTGCTACTAGAGTCAAACAGTTTACCGTTGGATATCAGCTGAGCAAAGAGGGAAGAACGGTGGCTAGCCGCAAGAACAGGGTTCACAGTCTTCAAAGTCCACGATCAGGTGCGAGGGAAGGAGGAAAGAAGGAAAGGAGGAAAGGAGGGAAGAAGGAGGGAAGGAGGAAGAGACGGAGGGAGTGGGTGAGTGAGTGAGTGAGTGAGTGAGTGAGTGAGTGAGTGAGTGAGTGAGTGAGGAAGGGAGGGAGGGAGGGAGGGAGGGAGGGAGGGAGGAACTCCGAGGAAGAGATGGAGGGAGTGAGGGAGGAAGGAAGGAAAGCAAAGGAAGAGAGTTGGAAGGAGGGAAGAAGGGAAGGGAGGAAAGTGATGGGAGAGAGTTGAAAGGAGGGACGAAGGGAAGGAAAGAGAGGGAGAAAAAAGAGCGGTGCGAGCAGATGGAAGGAGGGAAGGGATGAAGGGACAGAGGAAAAGGAGGGAAGAAGGGAGGGAGGGAGGGAGGACAGGGAGGAAAAAACGAATGGAGAGAGATGGAGAAGGGAGGGAAGGGAGGGAAGGGAGGGAAGGGAGGGAGAACAGGGAGAAAAAAAACGGAATGGAGAGAGGGAGAGAATGGAAGGAAGGGAGGGAGGGAAGAAGGGTAGGGAGGCGGGACAGGGAGCAAAGGACGGCAGGGAAGGAAAAGGAGGAAGGTAGGGAGGAACTGAAGGAAAGAGAGGGAGGGAGGGAGGGAGGGAGGGACGGACAGACGGAGGGACGGAGGGACGGAGGGAGGAAGGGACGGAGGGAAGAAGGGAGGAAGGGAGGAAGGGATGCATTAAGAATTTGAGCTGTGGTGTACAACAACAAGAGAGCTCAAGGGACAGACAGCGATTGTTGCACTGATGGATGTTTGCATAATCATACATAGATATTTCCATAGCCATACACACAGACCAAAAGGGTCACGGTGAGTTGAAGAGGAGAAAAGCAGAGAGAGTCTCAGGAGAGAGGGATGGAGGAACACGGAAAAGGAGTTTGACAATCGGGTCATATTCGAATGGATGGCAAAAGAACCAGCAGCAGTGTTTCAGATATTCACAAGAGAGCGGCAAAAGAACGAGCAGCAGCAGGAGCCGCAGGGAACGTATTTTTTTGCCTGTCAGAAAGTCTCAGCTCACAGTTTTACACAGCTGAAATCTAACTGCAGCAGTTCGTTTCATAATCTAACCTGTTAAAAAAGACAAAAAAAAGAAAGCAAAAGCAGATCAAGACAAAGACAAGAAAGAGAAAAAACTTCAAAAAAGTGAATAAATAAACAGGAGAAAAGAAGTGCTGGCTGTACATCTTTTCTCTCCTCCCCCCCCCCCCCATCCCCCCCCACCACCACAAAGCAGAGTCTTTTATTATAGCCAGCAGACGGGCCTGGCATCTCTCTTAAAAAAAAAACACTTCCTTCTGACGAGGAACGAGGCATCACCGGCCACGCTTCACAAGGTCAGGCCACGATGTAGCAGTAACCGAAGTATCCAAGAATATCCGCAGGAAAGTCCAACTCGAAACTTGCTGCGAACGAAACTGCAAACGAAAGTAAAGCGCAGCTGGCACACCCATGAACTGGTAAGAGCAGACAGCACTAGCACCCGGGGAGAGGCTCCATCTATTGGTGGGGAGCATCACCTGCTGGGAAACGGGTCCAGCGTCCCATATACACAGAACGAATCAAAAACATGACAAGGGAATAACTGAGGAAGACACCTGCCAGCATTGATTACTCTGTCTTCCAGAGGATTGACTGAGCAGGTTACCTGCTATTGAAAGACTAGATGCTCCCTTTCCAAAGGACTTTACCACCCCATCCCCCACTATCGATCTCTTTGTTCCAGTCAAACCCCAGCCCTAGTTTTTACATATCATTGCTAAAAACATCCACCATTCTGTTCTGCTTCTATTTTCCAAAAAACCCTGTCTCTTTCCACTCTATCCTTAGCCCGTAACCCCCCCATACCATTCCATTTCAACCAGAGCTAAAGGAGGGGGTGGAAAGAGATCCGGAAAGTCTGAGAAGGGCTGGAGCGGGATAGAGGAGTCAATCTGGGTCCAATCCTGAAAGCATAGGTGGTAGTCCCTTTCCCCATCCTCAATATCTTCCCCCCTTTTCTCCCCGCCCTTCCATTTTACCTTAGCGATCCAAACCCCCTGTCCCCCGCCCAGCCAGTCTTTACAGAACTTCTCAATGAGTTGTCTGATTTCTCGTTTAGAGTGTAGGTATGTGATTTTTCCTTTGAATCTTTCCCATTGAATAGAGATGTCCTCCTGTATTTGTTCCTTTATTGAGTTGATGAGCTCCGTTCCATCCCGCCGCACCCCTTCCATTTCGAGTGTGCATCTTCTCCACCAGATGGCCCAGATAACCGCCTTGCGGCCTATTTTAAACATATTTTCTTCAAAAGGGGTGGCTTGCTCTGGGGCCCACGCCTCACAAAGGAGCGCTCTCCAGTCCCATGGCCAAGGTTGTGAGGTGCCCAATTGTCTTCATATGCGGTCCCACCACCTCCACAACCATATTGTTGTCGGGCACTGCAAGAACATGTGCTCTATGGTCTCTGACCATTTACGAGCCGGGAAGGATGTTGTGCATAGCTTGCACCATGGGAGTGCCACACCCTTTTGTTCTAGGTGTGTTCTATCTATCAGCCAGTCATTGGTCGGCAGGGACCTATGCTCTATTTGCCATTGGAGTGAGTCCAGTTTTGTCGGCATGGCCCTGCTCGCCTTAAACCACTTAACCGGCCGCAGCATATCTCTCCCCACGTTCAGGTGCTTCATCCAGCATGCTTCTACCACATCTTTCAGATTTACTCTCGGTCGCAGCAATCGATAGGTCGCCTTGACCGAGAGAGACTGCAGCCGCCGCACCCCAGAACTACCTTTCCCATGTTTCTGGGACCATATACATTCGTCGGGGTCAAGTGGTAGCTTTTGGATTGGTTTATTCGGCTTGTATGCTCTCCATTGGTCCTTTTCTTTAAGGACGCGGATACGGTATAGCCCAGACCTTAGACACCATACTGTCTCTTCTGGCTGCACCCGCTCCAGGCCATTATTCGTTATTATTCTTAAAAAGTTGGCAACCACCTCTTGTTCCCCCCCGGTGCCGGCCTGACGAGTATACACTACGTTCCCAACCATCCCCTCTGTATCCCAGAACCCCACCCAGTCACCCTCCATCACCACCGGTCCTTTCCTCAAGAACCGGACCCAGTCAAGAGGGATGGCGAAGATAATGGTTTCCAGCGCCTCTCCCACTTTGTGGCAATGCCTCGGTTTCTTCCTCAGTTGGGTCTCTGACAGCCAATCCTTGGTTTCCTGGTCCCAAATATCTCTGATACGAAGCACACCATTCTTGACCCAACCCTTCCAAGGGTTTTCACTGCTGTGGAAGACCCTACTATGGGGGCCTCTTACCCATCGGTTTCCAAACAAAGGTTACCGGGCCACTTCTTCCCATCGCTTAGGTGGGACTTTGTCAGGTAAGGGCAACTTATGCCAAGTTTTCAGTATCGTGGCCCAAAGAGGGTCCTTTTGCAAGTCATGTCGGGCTGCCAGACCCTCCCTCCACATTTGGCCGGGACAATTTTCCGGGTATGGTCCAGTACCTATCCTCAAGCCACGTTTCCGGTTCTACTTTAGAAGGCGCCTGTGGCGCTTGCCTGGCAATCTGCTGTAATGCCAACGGTTGCCATGGCGCATGTGTGGAAAAGAGCAGGCCTTTAACCCATTGAAGGGCCAGGGACATCACTTGAGTGGCCGGGTCAATTATTCCTAGACCCCCTCTGGTTTTTGGTTGTATGACCGACTGCCAGGCCACTCTACTGATAGCATTAATCCTGAGTAAAGCTTGTTATCACAGGGGGAAAAAAAAAGCAACCTGACACCTGTAGCCCTTACTATGTATGTACAAAAAGCCAACCAATCAAACTGTACCCTCATAGCCAAGTTCTTTAGCACAGAAAAAAAGTAACTAGTAGCCCGTACGATTTACAAAAGTTCGAGCCCCCATCTCAAACATGCGACACCAAACGTTACCTCTGACCCAACATCTATTGCACCTAATCTATAGATATTATAGCTTCTTATCTATAGCACCTAAACCCCCCGCCCCACTAAACCAAAAATCCAACTACTCGTCCAGCAAGTGACAAAAGCCAAGTTGAAAAGTTGGATTCTGGCTTCAATCAATCCTTCCACACAGGCAGGTCCATGGGATCTTCAACAGCAAATTGAACCTGTCAGTGGTTAAGCATGCAAGGCTTTACTCTCACAGTGAACGCACTAAAGTTAATGGCATGCTTTTTTTTTCCACATCGCGATTTGTGACCATCCTTCTGTGCCAAGAAGGAAGGCAGGCTGTCTGGACAAGCGCCGCACGGTTCCTTTTTCAATCCAAGTTCAAACCCAATGCCTTCTCAAGGCTGGGGGCTATCAGATCTCAACACCCCCCCCCTCCCCCCTCCCTGCTCATTGGACATGGGTTGGGTAACTTGGGTTGGTTGTCATTCCAGCGCTGAGTGACAATCCAACCTGTGTTCAATGACAAGGGGGGGGGGGGTGGRGGAGGGGGGGGAGAGAGCTGATAGCCCCCTGTCTCGTAGAGTACTCGTACAGTGGTATAAGCAAGCTTTATGGGGATGACGAGGAGGTTCCCGAACCCAATGTCTAAGATCACCATGTTAACCTATAAGCTGGCTCCAAGATCGGAAACGGTTGAAAAACAAATCTTCGTACTCTCAAAACACAGACTGGGACCAAATATTGTGTCTCAGGAAAAAAAAGGATGGAATTGGCAGAGCAGGCAACACTGAAAAAAAAAAAAAAAAAAGAAGAAGAAGAAGAAGAAGAAGAAGAAGAAGAAGAGGGAGTCTGAGGGACCTGCGCCTAGAGTTTCCCCACCTGAGACAGCAAAAAGCGTCGGAATTCAAATCATTTTCAGCTTTCCAAATATGGTAAGGCAGGGGGTATATATGGGAGAGCGAGGTTGACGTCAGCTTGGAGCTGAGATCAATCGTAACGCATCACACAAGCACGCAGTGAGAGACAGCATGCCAGATATGTGTAGCTCGGAAATTGCTTCAAAAGGCTCTTAAAAATAAGAGTGCAGAACCAAGAGCAGGAGGAACAGCATCGCCAAACTATGGTGTTCATAACTTCATACCATTGTCCGCTGCGGGCAATGGTTACGCTGGCTTCCCTCTACCGGTTTCGGCTAGGGCGAGAACCTAGCCTCATCAGGAGGGATAGAAACTAACTCCGAGGTGACGGAAAGGTAAAACTTATCTAATAAATACTCATCTTACCGTCCTTCTAGCCTGGTTACTTTAACTTCATCAACTTTTTCCGAAGTGTTTCCCAGTCTATGCCGGATTTCCCAAAAAAATTCCCATCCTTTTGAAAAAGTCGGTAACTCTGCGACCTGTAGTGTCAGGTAACCTCCGAGGCAGACAGAAATGTACAACTCTATTTTACCGCGGTAAAATCCTGGGCAAATCCCCGAAAGAATCTTTTCTGGCCTGTGTCGGAATTTAAAATTCCGTCCCTTTTGAAGAGGCAGTAGCTCTGTAACCTATAAGGTCAGGCAATCCTCAAAAAGTAGACAAAAAACGTTTGAAGCTACAGCTCTGTTTTCCCTTTGAAACGCGGTAACTCCCGAAGAATTCCTGAAAATCCCGAAAAAATCCCGGAAAAAATCCCAAAAAAAATCCTAGGGCCTATTTGTTGTTTTTCTATCCAGTTTACGTGTAGGAGATACGATATATATCCGGTCCTTTGGACTTACTGAAAATATTTAGCCTGCAGAACGGAGATATTGAACCCTTCTGGTTTCAATTCAGTATGCCATCTGCAGTATTTTCGCAAATTACCATCCACAGTATTTCCTACCCCATGCGTCCCAAGACGGAGCGAGTCTCCGAATAAATTTACCCAGGCACTCGTCAAAAAATCTCCCTGGGTAATCCTGCAGTCGTAGAAGCCTCTTTAGTGTCAGTAGACCCAGTCCAGTTAGTTCAACATTCGAAGTCATCTCGTACAGTCTGTGCAGACAGCACGTTATTACCACCTTTTTCTGTGGTACTGCTGAATAGGAGTTAAAATCCTGGATTGTCTTGAAGGTACGTTCGCCGTCCTTCCAGATTTCCTTAAAATTTCTCTGGATTAGCTGGGTCGTCACTTTTCTCCCTACTTCTACTCTAATTCTCGTTCCCAAAAAATCCCATTCCCCTGTTTCTTCATCTGTACGTTCAAGTGTTAAAGCTTTATCATAGGCCGTTTGAAAAAGACCAATAATATTTCCTTCTTTTTTTTTCTAAGAAGGGGAAACTACACGGGAGTCACAAAAATGGGTTATAATTGCACTATGGGCCAAGATACAGTTTCAAACTGGAGTTCGCGCAATGTATACAAGCCAGCTTTCTGGCCAGGTAGGGTGCCCGAAGTGCAATTGCAAACTGTATCTATCTTGGCCCATACTGCAATCATAAGTTATATCACCAAGCTAAAGCGGAGCTGGCGGAGGTCCTCCGGGCAAACTTGCTGAAAGCCAGCAGGAAATTAGTTGAAGTACTGACCCTGAGCCCGGACAGATAAAGTAAACAACATGCCATCCAGGCCTTCCGGGAGCTCTGGATCGATCCCCACGGAAAGCTAGCAGAAGTGCGGGATGATGGAAAGCTGATATGGAAAAACTGGGCAGCACAAGAGGACCAATGGTCCTTCCGTCCGCCCGACAGCTTTCCCACCCCTCTACCAGGCCAAACAAAAGGGGCAATGGTGTTAATGCCCTCAATAACAAGCTCAGCAACCCAGTCCCTAGGGGACGCGGGCCCCCAATCACCCCTCCCCTCGCTCGGGATGCCCTTTCCC